TAGGGCTGTTCTGGCTGGGTCTTTCTCCTTCCTTCTTCTTCATCTTTGTCACTGGCAGCAACAGTACTTGGCCTGCTGGGTTTATGGTCAGCAATGTGCCTGAGAATGGTGCTGTCTGGTGTGGCACATAGCAGGTGCTTCTTAAGTGGTGGAGCGGCTTTCATTATCTGGCCTTCTATAGGTTAGGATGTCATAGTCATGCCAGTGGCTCCTGATATGTGGCTGGGAGCAGGATTTGGGGGAAAAGATGCTACTCCTTGTGATATCCAGAGCAGCCTGCTTCAGGGAGGTGGCAGCCTGTGCTAGCCTCTGCCCCAGCATTGGACATCATCTTCTGAGAATGCCTTTGCAGCAGCCAAACTTGCCCTCAGTCAAATAGCACCTTCTTTGGCAGGAACTTATGTCCTCATATTTGAGAAAAGCCCTCTAAGCAGCTTCCTGTGGTTTTGATGAGGTGACTGGTTGGCAAGCTCTGAGTCCTGTCTTCCGTTCCTCAAGAAGTTGAGAGGAAAAAACCCAACAGGAGCCTGAAAATAATTCAGCACACTTTTCCAGGCCCAAAGCCTGCATCTGGACCAAGGACCACCTGCCACCCTTCCTGCGGAGGCCTGGCATATGCCCTCTCTCTCTCATGTCCTGCCTTACCAGTTTCCTGCTGTTGCCAACTCTACCCAAGTCCCTGGACCCAACCTCAGGGTAGAAATTGGTCCAGGCTCCTTGTAGTTGGTTTCTTTCTTCTTCTTTTTTTTTTTTTTGTTGAGACAGAGTCCCATTATGTTGCCCTAGGTAGAGTGCTGTGGCGTCACAGCTCACAGCAACCTTAATCAAACTCTTGGGCTTAAGCGATTCTCTTGCCTCAGCCTCCCAAGTAGGTGGGACTACAGGCACCCACCACAATGTCCAGCTATCGTAGTTGGTTTCTTGAGTCCGGAGTGGTCCTAAAGCAAAGGACACCTTGGATGGTTATGGCATCACTAAAGAACAATGAGAAGAAGGCCACAGCTGTGGGTGGAGCCACCTCTATAGCAGCTCTTCCTGGTCCTCTGTGTAAGATATGTTACCCTCTTGGGATGTTCATGCAGGACTGTGACAGGCTGACGATAGGAAGGGGAGGCTTCCACCACAGCACGGTCACTCCAGGGCTGTATTTGGAGACCCCCTCGCAGCCCAACCCTTCACTCACTCTGGGTTGAGTCCACTGTGGTTTCTGTGGGCATCAGGCTATCCAGGGACAGGCTCTGGTGAATGTACCTGGCTACTTGGCATGTTACAGGGCCACAGAGGTCTGTAGCCTCCTAGGAGGTGCCTACCCTCCTGATGGCACTTCCAGCCCTTTCTGGGTTTGGATGGGGCCTGCCTCAGTCTCCCCACAGGAGTAGTGCTTCATGGAGGCCAGGGCTGCCTTGCTAGAATGGGGTATAACTGCCAGGCCTGAGTGCAACCCTCCTCTATTGTCTGGCCAGGTAGAGGAGGATGGGTGGTTGGCTTTGGGGCCTTGAGAAAGAACATCATTTGTGGCATACAGAGCTGTTAGCCTGCTGTCTGGCTTTTTCAACATTGGTAGGTTTCAGTTATGTGGGGGCCAGCCCAGGCCCCCTCCTGAGGCGTGAAGGTCACACATATTCCCTCCTAATGGTGTGTATTTGGCCACATTAACACTGTCTTCAAGCCTGGCATGATAGCTCATGGTTGTAATCCTAGCACTCTGGGAGGCCAAGGCAGATGGATTGCTTGAGCTCAGGAGTTTGAGATGAGCCTGAGAAAGAGCAAGACCCCATCTCTATTAAAAATAGAAAAACTGGTTCAGCACCTGTATCTCAAATGGCTAAGGCGCCAGCCATATACACCAGAGCTGGCGGGTTCAAACCCAGCCTGGACCTGCCAAACAACAATGACAACTACAACCAAAACATAGCTGGGTGTTATGGCAGACACCGGTAGTCCCAGCTACTTGGGAGGCTGAGGCAAGAGAATCGCTTAAGCCAGGAGTTGGAGGTTGCTGTGAGCTGCGATGCCACGGCACTCTACCCAGGGTGATAGCTTGAGGCTCTGTCTCAAAAATAAATAAATAAAAATAGAAAAACTGTCTGGGCACATATTGGCTCATGTCTGTAATCCTAGCACTCTGGGAGGCCAAGGTGGGTGGATTGCCTGAGCTCAAGGAGTTTGAGACCAGCCTAAGCCAGAGTGAGACCTCATCTCTTAAAATAGCCAGGAAGATGCCTGTAGTCCCAACTACTCTGGAGGCTGAGGCAAGAGAATCACTTGAGCGCCCAAGTTTGAGGTTGCTGTGAGCTGTGATGCCACAGTACTCCATTGAGGGTGACAAAATGAGACTCTGTCTCAAAAAAAAAAGAAAGAAAAGAAAAACTGAGGCAAGAGGATCTCTTGAGCCCAAGAGTTTGAGGTTGCTGTGAGCTATGATGACACCATGGCACTCTACCTACGGTGGCAGAGGGAGACTCTGTCTCAAAACGAAGCAAAACCCACAGATTTCTTCGGGAGGGTACTATTATCAGAAGGTCACAGCCTGCCTATGCAGGGACAGACTGGTGCCAGGGCCTAGGGGAGGCCAGGAAGATGCATTACAGAGTAGTGCTCACACCTGCGGCCCCAGGTGGGCTGTGATGCTGTGGCATGGAACAATGTGGTTTGGAGGGTTGGGATATTACCTGGTCAACTAGACCCTGAGGAGAGAGCGCCGCCACATGAGGGAGAGGCTGAAGGCACCATGTTGGGGTCCCAGGGCAACCCCATGTGCAGTACAGTGACTCAGCAGATGGTCCTGGCGACTGTTGTTCATGATAGTGAAAGGACTTAGCAGAGTCAGCAAAGGTAACAGGTGCAATAGGTGAGTTAGGCAGCCAAGGCCTATCATCTCCCCCGTGGAGTCATGTAGGATGTGCTCCATCCCTAACTGTGAGCCGTGACAATGTGAGTGCAGTGTAGCCAGGGAAGCTCTCAGGTCCCTCTCCTGGTATTTGTGGGTCCTGGTCACAAGACATCCCACCTCATTCTACCTGGCCTATGCCAAGATTCCAGATGCCAGAAGAACACAGGGCCCAGGCATTAGACCATGGTGTTTGTAGGAGCAGTTTAGGCCCAGAAGCCTCTGCTGTCAGCAAGGTAGTGGTGCCCTGCCCAGGCTCCTGGACACCCTGAGCCTTCCCAGTGACCTCTATGGACACAGCCTGCGGTGCCAGTTCTGTTCTACTGAGCACCATTCGGGACATTGGACCTAAGTCATTTCTCTGGTCCTGGTTGGCTTACATAGAGGTGCCAGGATGATACAAAGGGCTGCTGAGGGTAGAGGGAAGCAGAGATGGGGTTGCTGGGGCCAGGGCCTGGGGATATTGAGGTGTTTAGCATCTTAGGTGCAGGGTAGTCAACTGGCCCTTCTTACCTCATGTCCTGTCTCTCCCATCTATGGGTAGCCTAGTTGCATGGCCTTGTCATGGTGGCACAGCCACATGCTTGTGGGACTATCTCTGCTCAGTATCTTTCTGTCTGGAAATGCCCTGGGCTAAGTACCAGTCCTGTGGTGCTGTGTGAGGTGGGTGTTCCTGTCACTCCATGGCCCTCAGAGTGCCAGTGTGAGCCTCTGCCATGACTCATAAGTTGGCAGTCCTTGGCCTCCAGCTCCTTGCAGCCAAGAATCCATTTCCCATCTCTGTGGATCTGCCAGATCTGGACATTTCATATAAGTCTCACACTGTGTGTCCTTCTGTGTCTGGCTTCTCTCACTGCACAATGTCTTCAAAGTCCATCGACGTTATAGCCTGTGTTAGAACTTCATTCCTTTTTTTAGTTTTTTTTTTTTTTTGAGACAGAGTCTGTGTCCTTGGTAGAGTGCTGTGGCATCACAGATCACAGCAACTTCAGACTCTTGGGCTCAAGCAATTCTCTTGCCTCAGCCTCCCTTGTAGCTGGAACTTTTTTCCATTTTTTTTATTTTGGACTAATAGGGTAAAAACTATTAGGTTATATAATTTACACATGACAGGTAAAATTCAGAATTGTAACTGTGTCCTACACCCAGTGAATGTGCCATATATCCATGTATTGAACCCATTGGAAGTTACTGAACTCCTCACATCTTCCCTTGTTGAGTTTAATGGAGATTTAGAGCCTCCTTCCTTTTCACGGCTGAGTGATATTCCAGTGTCCACAGACTATGTTTTGTGTATTCATCTGTTGATCGACACTTGGGTTGTTTCCACCTTTTGGCTATTGTGAGTCTTGTCATTTGTCATAGGTACTTATGTGCTGATTTCCGTGTGAACATATTTTTACTTCTCTTGTGCATGTATGTACAAATGGAGGAGTTGATAAGTTTTTGAAGAATTAATGAAACCATTATGTTGGTTTTCTGAATGCCCTGTCTCTGGACAGTTAGGTTACTGAGAACTGTTTCTCCCTTGCAGACCTTGGGTCTATTGAGGGCAAAAAGTGACATTAGTCTGCTAACCAGAATCACGTGGGAATGGGCAGTCAAGTTGTAGAAACGACTTTGTCTGGCAGATATTGGCATATCCTAGCACCATGTGGCCTCCCTTGGGAGCGGCTTGGGGTCAGCACAGTGGGGCCCTCTGACCTTGCCTCAGGATGCTATTGCTGGCTGCCTCATATTGAGGTGACTGGAGCTTCTGCTTTTGAGCTTCTGTAGGAAAGTTGACAGGGTATTGGGGCTTCCTAGAGTATCCTTCAGTGTGACCTTAATGACTTTCTGTCCATGTGGGCTCTGCATTCTTCTTCAAGTGGATGCTACAGCATTTGCCCAGCATCTACTGTGGCCAGATCCCTCAGAGGTCTTGCCCAGCCTTCACTTGACCCTCCACTGTCCTCTCTTGCCCTCAGAGCAATGGCTGGTGGCACTCTGGGCTCCTCCCACAGTGAGCAACTATGTGCCCATTTCATTGTTCTTTCATGGGGCAGAACGGGCAGGGCAGTGAAGCCAGATGAGCCTGCAGGGATAAGCTGGCTGCTGTCTTCTCTTTCAGTTGGAGAGAGGCGATTTCCTCTCCGAAGAGTGGAGAGAGCGGATTGCCAACACGAGGTACGTGGGGCATGGGGTACGGTGCTAGGGTAAGTGGTGGGACCATAGGGGAAGGCATAGGGTGGGGTGGGGTCCCTGAACTCCCTGGGCTTCTCTTTATGCTAGGGTCCTTATGGAAGGATTCCAAGGATCAGCAGAGCAGTAAATGCCCCTGCCTCTCATCTGCCTTCAAAGTGGCACTTGTTACCAGCAGACCCAGGCCCAAGCCCCATGCGCTGGCTCTTCCATGCTGGGTCTTCCTGTCTTCCTGTCTCCTTGTTTCTCCCTTCTTGATGGGCCAGTCCTGACTGCATTGCACCCCCTGGAAGTAGCCCTGCTCCTGTGTGCCTCACTCAGAGCCCCCTTGGCCCAGCACCCAATGCCTTGGTGCCCTACGGCTCATGGAGCCATTTCTCTGGGTTCTTCCCATCTACATATTTTGTCTGTCCTGCTGGATTCACATCCTCTGACACCTCTGGGGTCCCCCTACCATTCTGTCCCCCTGCCCATCTAGGTGCGCCTGCCTGTGTGGTGTCTGCTGCACCTGCTGATTTCTTTGAGGGTGGAACATGGGAATCTCTCATTGATGCTGTTGAGATCCACTTGTATTTGGCTGGGCCTGCTGTGCCCGTGCATGGGTGCTCTGACACCTCAGCTCCTCTGTGGCTCCATCCAGCAGGGTCTTCTATGGGAGCTCCCCAATTCATCTGGTTTGTACCATTGCCACTATCCCTTAGGAACCTGAGGGCTTTCCTGGCATCCCTTTGACTCCCCAGTTGTAGTTCAAGTGCGCCTTGTACCCTTGGCCTTGAGGAGTCACGTCTTAGCTTGTCTTTTACCTTGTTGGTGGCTCTGTGGGCTCTGCCGTGTGGCTGGGTCCTGTCTGCTCTTACTGTAGGCACAGTTTAAGTGGGCCTTGGTTGTGCTGCTTACTGGCTGGGGCATCACTTTGGGTCCTTGTGGGGACCAGTGGCGCTTTGTCTTGCCTTGGTTTACTTATCCCTTTCGTGTGTCTGAAATGCAGCAGGGTGATAGCTTTGAAGGCAGCTATCTCTTGGTGCTTCTTTCTCTGAAAACACCAGTTCCTGAGGGTTATTTCTGTCCCCCACCCCTTACCTGTGGCTGCCTGAACCCACCAACTCTGGCTTCTGACCTGCTCCTGCATAGTCCTTGGGGAGGGTCTCAGTCAGGTGGGGCCAGTGGGCCCAGCACCCTGGATATGTGTGCATCTTGGTATTTGTTAGCAGTGCCCAAGGATGCCTCCACTTGGGACCACGCTCTCCAATCTCACTCTTCTGCTGGGTAGCAGGACAGAGCCTCTAATTCCTCTGATTCCCATTCCCATCCTTCCTGGCTACTAGTTTCCTTTCTGTGGCCTGAAGGTCCTTCTCACTTCTGAATACCTGGGAGACATTGCTGGTGAATGTTTTCAGAATTCTCAATTTTAAAACTATCATGATTCAAAATAAGCTGCTCACCCTATTTTCTGCCACATTCCAAAGAGATTGTGCTTCTCTTCTGTCTGAGAGCCCCTTGTGGTTCTCATGGGGGACTCTTGTGGCCCTGGCGGGTGGGCTGGGGTATGGGCAGAGGTTGGCACCGGCATCTGCACACTGCACTGGGATTCTTATGCCTGTGCTAATGGAGCCTTCATGTTACTCAACTGGAACATTGTTTTGCAGTGTTATATTTGTGAATAACTTTGCCTTTGGTCCTGAGGTGGATCACCAGCTGAAGGAGCGATTCGCAAACATGAAGGAAGGTATGTGTGTGTGCCTCTGACCTGTCCTGTCTCGTGTCTGCCTCATGTGTCATCCCAAACTCCCAGAGTGTCCAGTCATGGTCCTGAGGGGGATGAAGCTGGGGAGACCTCCAGGCGTCGTGTTTTCTCACTATCCCTTAGTTTACAATGTCTGGTTGGAAGTAGGAGCTCAGCACTCCCTCCCCAGGCCGGTGACCAGTACTATGGGGAGCTGACACAGCCTGGGTGAAGGCCTTGCTGGATTTGGATCTTCCATTGTATACTCCAGGCGTCCTCAAACTATGGCTCGCGGGCCACATGCAGCCCACCTAGGACATTTATCCGGCCTGCTGGGTATTTTTGCCACTGCTGCCTGTCCTGCTTAGCAGCCGACTTGTCCCGGGGCCCACAGTCCGGCCCTCCAATGGTCTGAGGAACAGTGAACTGGCCCTTTGTTTGAAAAGTTTGAGGACCCCTGGTATACTCCACCCTGCAACGTGTCATGTACCCTGACACTTTGGGTGGAGCCCCAGCTAAGGTGCTGGCTGCAGGTCCCCCATGGCCACCAGGGCCCCCACCAGTACTGCAGCAGATTGACAGTGCCTTCTTCTCCCTGTGCCTGCTTCCCACTGTTGCAGCTCTTGGGTGCCCTCCTGAGGCAAGGAGAGAAGTGCAATGGGTTTTCCCCCCAGCTTTGTGAAGATGACAGGCAGTCATTACAGGTTGCCTCAGAAAAAACCAGTTTTCTGCCTTCAGCATCAATGACCTGTATCCCCAGGGGCCTGGTATACATATGCGCGCCCGTGTGTGTGTGTGTGTGTGTGTGTGTGTGTGTGTGTGTGTACACTCATGCCGCCTCCTGTGAGCATGAGTGTGTTGGAACAGTATAATCCTGAAATGTTTTAAAACTAACTGAGGATACACTTCCTTTTTTTTTTTGAGACAGAGCCTCAAGCTGTCCCCCTAGGTAGAGTGCCGTAACATCACAGCTCACAGCAACCTCAACTCCTGGGCTCAAGCAAGTCTCCTGCCTCTGCCTCCCAAGTAGCTGGGACCACAGGTGCCTGCCACAATGCCCAGCTATTTTTTGGTTGCAGCCATTGTTGTTTGGCGGGCCCAGGCTGGATTTGAACCTGCCAACTTAGGTGTATGTGGCTGGCGCCTTAGCCACTTGAGCCACAGGTGCCGAGCCTACACTTCCTTCTTTAGCTGAGTACTGCTCCTGGGCTCAAGGCTCCCTCAGGAGGGGCCAGGGTTCTTGAGGCCCTGATACCTGTTTTCCATCCCCTGCCCCGCTGCCCAGGAGCAGCTCTTCAGGGTCTTTCTCCCGGATTTCCAGGCAGAACCCCAGCCTAGCACTAGGTAGTGGCCACTGCAGTAATGTCTCTCTCTTTTTTTTTTTTTTTTTCAGTTTTTGGCCGGGGCTGGGTTCGAACCTGCCACCTCTGGCATATGGGGCCGGTGCCCTACTCTTTTAAGCCACAGGCACCG